AGATTGTACTGATTTTTCTTTTGATCACAGGCAATAATCAGTAAAATTTTGGACATATGTATTGCACAGTCATATTTTCCTTTGAAAAATTAGTGTTATCGGTCAGTTTTTGAATATGGAGTGAAAGTTGCGTTCTTTCGTCAAGGCAGTGATGAATTAAATTAGGCACAGTAAACGAAAATGGTCAGAAAATCATTTGAAATTTAAGAATATTTCAATAGAGCAATTTTTCTTTGGCGCCATTTTAGTTAGGTGCAATTTAAATAATTCTTAGCGTAAATTTAAACTGAGTGTAAATCAGTGACGATTTTGCAAGTTGGCAACATTGTCTCTCTTCCATTTAAATCCATTGAGAATATCGATTTTAGGTGAGGCAATTGCCTCTCCGAGAATCAATCGTCTTACATGCATTTAAATGAAAGAAAATCAGTGTTGCCACCTTTCAAGAATCGCCACTGATGTAGTACTAGGAACCGTTGAGGGGTTGAGCAAATTTTACCAAGATGTGGAATTCATTTTATGTTCAACAATAAATAGGAAACCCCGTATTTGAATATACTCGAGGTTGCCTTTTTTTCAAAAATTCTTCGAAATGCTGAACAAACGGTGTCCAAATGTAAAGGGTGTCGGCTTCCGTTGGAGCGTTTATTCATGTGTAGAATGGTATCAGATTGGTTCAGAAAATTTTGCCGATAAACCGGTTTCATTTTAAGTTCAACATGAAATAGGAAAAACTTTAATTCAACATACTTGAGCTGTCTTTTTTTGTCGAAAATTTCTCAAAATGCTGAGTGTAACTAACAGTTTCCTAATTTGAAGGATGTCGGCTTTCTTCGGAGCGTTTAATCATGTGTAGAATTTTATCAAATTGGTTAATAGTGCTCTAACCGAAGAAATAGGATTATGTACGTAAGTCACATGAATAATGTAACGTGCGTTGATTGACAAATCCTAGGGAAGCTGAGCCGCGAACCGACTGAGAACACTGCGTAACGATGATTATCAGAATTCTCGCGGATCTTTGGCTCAGCAAAAATATTTTCGGAACGGAAAGACTCACTAAAAGGGGATTTTAAGATTACCGGCATTAGTTCGTCCCTCCAACTTTGCTCATCAATCAAATTGCGTTTATTGTGCTAAATATACTGCGAATCGCGAAAGAGATTAACACACCCGGCTCAAAAAACCATTCATCGCTCCTGCATAAAACATTCGCGCTCGCGCCATTATCAATTGGGATAAATGAATTGTTTTTGGATCGACGTGTGCGTTTTTTATGCGTTCAATTGTGGCGGAGTTGATGTTTTAAATTTGATTTATTGATGCGTTCGGATCGTTTTATGGGGCCTCGAATATACGGTAAGAATCAACCTATGCGTTACCCGAGTTCTCAACTAAAAAGGCGAGAATACATTTCACTCCAACAAATAAGTATAATACATAGGGCCCTAAAGTGCAGCCACCCTTCTAACCAACTTCTAACGCCCAAAATTTCACTGCCAGTCTGCAGATTCCAATTCTAACGAAGATGGCTAAGAATGTATATAAATGAGCGTTCTTCCGCAAAAATGAGTACATTTATGCAAAAACCAAGTCAAATACACAAGGCCGGATTAAGAAGGTGGCCACGTGGGCCACGGCCCATGGAGGCAAAATGTAAGGGGCGACAAATTTTGCATCTTTTTTAATGTAGGTATCAAAAAATGAGAGAAAACAATCGGATTCAGAAAATAAATTACAAACGAGAAAAGGCGACAAAATCCCTCATTTCCTGAGAGTATAAGTATAATAATTTCTAATTTTGTCATCTTTCGGTGATACAAGAGACAACACCTTTAATGGGTCACTAAACCTTGTTTATTTTATTGAATATTCTGAAAGTACAATGTGAGTAGATAACTTGGTGATTTTTCCGCATTTTTATGAGCCGAAATCGCGGAGAAACCCGCTTTTGAAAAATCTAAAAACTGCAAGACATTTCAAACGCACCCGAATGGCGGGAAACTGACGCGGTTGATGCACTGCGGTAGTCATATCGCAATCTTCTCTCATTTTCCTCTGATTTTTGTTAAAATAAAACGTGTTTCAATGTGGAATTGTTGCTCGTTTATTACAGCTAACATATGAATGAGATTCAAGTCTTGAATTCAAAAGATATATGATTCGCGGCGGTCGGCATGCAACACATAGCGCCTACAAGACTGCATGAATACTTCACGCATTTCGTCAAACACACTGCGGTCTGCAGCAGTCAGCTTGAAACGCATAGCGCCTACAAGACTACATGAATACTTCACGCATTGCGCCAAACAGTGTATTCCGCAGCACTCGGCGTGAAACGCATAGCGCCTACGAGACTGCATGAATACCTCACGCATTGAGCCAACACAGTGCAGCGGTGGAAGTTAAAATTTTCAACCACATTTATGTTCGTTCTTTCATAATTTTTTCGTTCTTTTTTATAAATGGAAGGCCTTGCCCAAACAGGGATGGATTTACGGAACTGAACACTTGTTAGTGTTGACAGGGCTTCTACAAAAAATGTGCCCAACACGAGTAATCGCGTCTTATACACCCCTCCCCTACCGGCACGTTCACTTGATGGTTTTTATAGATCGTATTCGACAGATCACACAGGTGTGATTATATTGATATCGATTGGTTCAATATGTAACCAAAGCCTCAAAAGTCAATTTAGAAATCTGAGGTAACGGGTCTCATGTGATCGAATTTTCATTCTCTCGAGTACCAAATGGCAATGAAAAGTGAGATTGTTAGGAATGTTCTCATGATCAGCTTTTCAAAATTAAATCCTAAAATTTTTGTTTGAAGTTATGTGCTATTGTTTTGAACCAGACGGCATCAAACCACTATCGAATACGATCTATTGATGTTTCAAAACAAATGAGAAGGGGGCGGAGAAATACAGGCGGTCCATGGGCGGCATGTAGGTAAATCCGGCCTTGCAAATACATGCTTTATAAACGATAGTTCCTGTCAATTATTATTAAATTGCTCTGGATAATTGAAATTCATAGGTTGGCTCATTGGCTGCAATTTCTGGACCCTAATTTTATTCGCAGAGGCATTGGTGAAGGCCTGATGGATTTTCGGAGTTTCACATCTGCCTATACTCTCGCTATAGATCGTATTCGATACATCAAACGGGTAAAATTGTATCGATATCGATTGGTTCAAAACATAAACATAGCCTCAAAAGTAAATTCAGAAATCTGAAAGAACGGGTCTTTCATTGTAACAGATGTTTTATTCTTTTGAGTACCAGATGCCAATGCAAAGTGAAATTGTCAGGAAATTACTCATTTTCAGCTTTTCCAACTTAAATCCTTACAGTTTGGTTTGAGGTTAAGTTCTATTGTTTTGAACCAAACGATACATCGAACCCGTATCGAATACGGTCTATACAGGTACTCTAGTTGTCTCTTTGGCGCGACGGAACTTTTTTCCTCGGAGCAAGGCTCGGAGGAGCGGGAAAGCGTCAGCGTATTACGTCACGAGTCACGTTGAAAAATGCCAATTAATAAGCGGAATCTTCGGAAACGGAGCGGAAGAGAGGGCACCGTCGAGCGTCGGGCGTCGAGAGAGAGTCTCGGGCTTTTCTAGCCAAGGGTGCGTAGGCTCGCCGCTGCCGCCCGCATTTCGCAGAGACATTCTGGCACGCTGACAGCCACCGACCAACGCCATGCTGCCCAATTGCACTCCTTTAAAGTCGTGACGTCCCTTGGGGCATACAGAAAAATATATCGGGCATAAGTTATAGTATCTGTACACTGGAAAAAAAACACATTGGATCTAGAGTCAAGACCCTTGAAAACATCGACAAGAAAAAGTACTCTTGATTCAATCAGAATCTAGCCCAAATCAAGAACCAAGCGTCTTAATTTCAGCGGATTTCGTTTTGATTCAAGCAAAAATCCGATTGAATCGAGAGTATTTTTTCTTCTCAATGCTTTCAAGAGTCTGGACTCTAGATCCTATGTGTTTTTTTTTTTTCTTTTCCCCCAGTATATAGGGAGAGCACGAACATGTCGGTAAATTGAGGTCAGGTCATGGAGTTTAAAGGGCCCAAAAAGGTAGCTAACCTATGAATTCAAATCCTGTTGCTTGTAACGCACTAATTCGACTCACTTTTTGCTTAAATTTACTCACTTTTGTGGTAGAATGCTCATTTTTCAATTTTCTTGGCCATTTTAAATGGAATCTGAAGATACGCAGCGGTATTTTTCTCCTATATTCCGACATGTAGATACACCAGTGTAAGTAGGGTACCTTCATACACTGAAATGAAATTTTAATTTCAGGATCAGAACTTCGGTTCATGTTGAAATCTACAGCCTCTATTAAATTGGATGACCAAATTTTTTGGTCGTAGGAGCCACGTTTTCGTTTGCTGATCCGAAGCTCAGTTTCTGTGCCGAAAAACCGCTTATGAGATGTAATATGCATATTCTTGATCCACTGTTCTTGCGTGCTAAGTAAACACACCGTACTAGCATTTGAATGTTGCCAAATTTCTTCTTCAAAAATCTTCATTTTTGAAGAAAGTTATGAGTATATTTCATTGGAATTTTTAGACTTTTTAAGATTAAATTACGAACAAAATCCTCTGGATTATTCACAAATTTTTCTGCAAATTCGTGATTTGTGAAAGGAAAATTGGCAGCGTCCGATGGCTCATACGGCGCTCTTACTTAGCACGGCACTTTTCTGCCCATGATCCACAACATTGCTCGCAACTGACTTTCCGGTGCTTAAAAACTGGAATTTGTAAGCAAATTTTTCACAATATATGTATTATGACTGGTTAGACTTGAAATCACTAATATCTCAATTTGTTTCAAAAACTGCATGCACATGCGCCTTGTCCCCCGAGCACCTCATACGCGGCCATGTTTAATTAAATGCCGATTTAGACGGAAATCTGGCGACGTGGGTCAAATGCCACCGCCGTCTAAATCCAACACGAGAACAGCCGTATTATTAGTTAGTTTGTAAGTTCGGTCGGTCGACTATTAACGTGCCCGGGTGTTTCGCGGCGAGGCCCCAGAATTCCCCGTGGTTTTCGATCCGTCCCAACTTTCGACCGCGGTTTCGTTTCTGTGAACGTCTCGCTTTTCGAAAAGTCCTTTGCGTCCCGCTCCCGGAGTTTGTGTTGAGTTTCCCAGCGGAAAAATCTCGCCGAAATGTCCGTCCGAAAGTTCGTTGTCTCGCTCTGTGCTCGTTGTTTGTGCGTCGTCACCGAAGAGATAAGTGTCGGATGTGTTAGTTGTGGTGTTTAATTTTCTCCCTCGGATTTTCACCTCAGAGGTATGCCATTTTTTTATTTCTCTCACGTCACGCGGTGGGGCTATTCGAAATGCGTCATTCAAAATCAACAAAGTAGGTGTAAACGGAAGCTGTCATCGGTGAATATACTCATCGAACGTATTCATCGGAGTTTAGAACACACACTGGGAAAAAAATACATTGGATCTAGAGTCCAGACTCTTGAAAACATTGACAAGAAAAATACTCTTGATTCAATCGGATTTTTGCGTGAATCAAAACGAAATCCGCTTAAAGGAAGAGGCTTCAATGGTTCTTGATTTAAGCTAGGTTCTGATTGAACCAAGAGTACTTTTTCTTGTCGATGTTTTTAAGAGTCTGGACTCTAGATCCAATGTGTTTTTTTTCCAGTGTACATGCCTGAAGCTTTTAAATGTCAAAAATAGAACTACCTACCCGCTATTTCTACAAGTTTTAAATCACGCGAATCTCAACGTATTTGAGATTTTCAATAGATAATGAACGAATCATCTTATCCAGCTGTAGGGTAATGAAATGCAGAGGTGAGAGGCTCGTGGTTGAGCGTCTCCGACGAGTAAACATCCCTAATTTTTTGACTTGAGATGCTTTTGCGGGTCATACTTTAATCTTATATTATGAAAGACTTTTAAGACCCTCAGACACGTACGTCCTAAAATCTGATAAGAATTGATTTACTTTCCGCCAAGAGCTTTCGTTGACTGAGCCTACTTTACTAACTTTAACAACGCATCTCTCAGAACGTAGGTGGATCATAAAGAGACACATCGTCTTAAACTTTGAAGAAAACACCAAGATTTTTATCGACAAGAGGATAAGAAAAATGTTTTCCTTACACCGGTGTACGCCAATTCTCAGTCTTAATGGCACAAGGTGATTTGCGATACCTCAGTTGGTATAAACTTATTCATAGCCCGACCCCATGGATTACAACTCAATGTCCGGGGCAACCCATTAGATTAACATTCCATCACCGAGTGTTGCTTGTTATTCCTCCACAATTCAGGTCAATAGCGAAGCCATTATCGCTATTGAATATGATAATGAATTAAATAAAAAAAAAAAAAAATTATCGCTATTGAATATGATAATGAATTAAATAAAAAAAAAAAATAAAGATTAAAACGCGTGAAATGTTTATGGTTTGCCTGTAGACGAAAGTTCCTCGACTTGAAACTCTAATCCAGCGACAAGCCAATATCATAGCCCAGATTTAGTTTTTCATATTTAAGTATTTTATTTATTTTCGACTGACCACGACCACGAAATGAGGAATCTTCACCAGCAAAGCAAAGTCTGATAGTTGAGTTATTAGTCAGGAAAAATTGACTACATTTTGTAATGAGATACTACAATCTCATTGCCAGTTTAGAAACAACGTATTGATGGTGAAACCGCAGAAAAGCGTATCTCAGTTTAGGTGTTGCAGACTTGCTGCCGTAATTCAATTTTTACATTGAAAACTACTGGACGTCATTTTTTTAAAATTCCTCTCTTTTTGAAGAATATCCTGTGAAAACTTCAAGCCGATGTTGGTTCGTCTCCTTTTAAAATATAAAATAGGGGCGGAGATTTTGAAACACAGCATTTGAAATTCGCACTTTCGCAATTTCACCGTAATGTACCCTTTGGATCACATTTTTGCAATAGGGGATTACAATTTTTTGCTTAGTTTAGAAACAACGTGTGCACCATAAGTTTACCCATGAAAATAAGCGTTTTTACGAATGAACCAGAAATTGCAGTTCCTGATTGCAAAAATCAGTCCATTTGTGTCTTCATGCTTGTATGTGTTTTTAGCCATACATTGTATTTCTCAATTGCAAAATGAAGCCCAAATCACCGATGCACCCTCCAATTTGGAAACATCGACGGGATCTCTCCTTAGTATAAATAAATTTGCACTAATATCCAGAATAATCGGAAATCTTTATTTCGCACCCTGTGTATGTATCAGTGCCGTGGCATGAATGATCGATTATCGATATTTCCCCATTTGAATCCATGGTAAAGAATCGAATACTAAGGTGTTCGCTGCAAACGCCCTGTTAATCGATCCTTTTCCACAGGTTTAAATGACAGATTAATCGATAAATCGCAAAGCACGCCACGCCACTGGTATGTATTCACTGAGCCCGAACAATAACAATAACATAACCTCTTTCCATGCTAAAGATGGAAATAAATCGATACGCCTACCGCGAGAGAGACACTTCTCCGTGACGCAGACCAGAATCACTCAATCGCTTTTAGCGGAGAATTGGCACGGTTCTCCTCCAAATATTCAGAAGTCCCCGAGGAGATAAAAAAGAGAAGAAAAGAAAAAACCGGGTCGTAAATTCAGTTACATCGGCGATGGTAAGGGCGGAAGGCGGAGTGGAAACGAAGGTGAAGGAATAGTCGTATTCCGGGCTATTAGGGCGACGTTCGGAGAGTAAAATTAAATAAATAATGTAAGTTGGGACGTAAGCCATGAAAGTCTAAATGTAATCAGCCATTCAAACTGCCGCGGCTCTCCGGAGGTGCTAAAAAAATAATGAGCGCTCGTTTTCCGCGTAGGGAACACGGAGGACTCGGCTCGACTTCGGAAGTATCGCCACGTTTTTGTCAATTTTTAATGAGGGTTTTCCTGTCGTTCCGCATCCGCGGATGCCCCTTCAACCAAAATTCGTCGTCTCCCGGACGAAAGATCGTAACTCCATTCCGAGGTTGCAAAATTGACTCGAACAATGCGATAATCAACAGGAATAGACCTGTGCAATTTTTGTCGAAAATTGGTCTGATTTTCGCATGAAATCAGAAGAAAAATCGGTGAATTTTTCATTCAGAAATGTTAAAAATTCTCCTGGTAAAAATGCTATCTGCGCACGGAAATTTGGCAACATTGAAATGCAGTTACGCCCCGCATCCGCGGATGCCCCTTCAACCAAAATTCGTCGTCTCCCGGACGAAAGAACGTAACTCCATTCCGAGGTTGCAAAATTGACCCAAACAATTCGATAATCAACAAGGATAGACCTGTGCAATTTTCGTCGAAAATTGGTCTGATTTTCGCATGAAATCAGAAGAAAAATCAGTGAATTTTTCAGTCAGAAATGTTAAAAATTCTCCTAGTAAAAATGCTATCTGCGCACGGAAATTTGGCAACGTTGAAATGCAGTTACGTTCCTTCGTGCGGGAAACGACGAATTCCTCCCAGGCGGAGCCGGACTATTTTGACGTGCTAAGGAAAAACTACGTATGAACATTCAGGCGTTGCCAAAATTCCTTCGATAAAATACGAATTTCCCGGTGAAGTTATATATAATTTTCCTCTAATTTTTCAGATAATTTTTCTCATAGTCTCTGCTGAAGTTCCTGAAAATTTCAAGGAAAAATATTCATAACATTCATTAATAATAAACATATTATCGGCAGGAATTTGGCAACTCTCAAATGTTCATACTGTGTTCTTCCTTAGAACGGCAGCAGTCTGCTACCCCTTTTTCCCTCGACAGAAAAAGGGCTCTCTTCATACGCGAGAGAGAGAGGGAGAGCCAGCAGAAGAAGAAGGTGAATGAGAAAGGGACAGAGGGGCTGGTTTCGCAAATTTGGATGAAGAACTCTCAGAGCTTGTAGTTCCGAGTTTTGCGATATCCATTGCAACGTTCGTCTTTTCTTAGGAGTAAGTCCTTTGCACACAAGGGCTTGGCGTTTTTTAGAGGAAGGCAAGAACCTTCGCTCCAAGGTTTCCGAATCGACTCGACTCAAATAACAGTTCAAGTTTTTACAAGAATATGATCTTGCGATTTCTGTTCCAAACTTTTGTGATTTTTGGAGGTAAATGGAGAATGAACTCAATTGGAAATGCTCAATAATTCCCCCGTGAAAAAAAAAGTCAATTTATGGCATCTATAAGAGAGGTGAGTCCAAACACATTATACGGGCCACCGAGAAAAAAAAAAGGTGCTGTAATAACATCCTGGATGTTAAAAAAATGTGCGACAACTCTTTGATGTTGTCATTACCACTCTGGCTGTTAAAGTAACATCCTATCATGCTACGTTAACTGCCACAGTGTTAATAGCAACATCCAAGAGTTGTCGCACATTTTTTTAACAACCGTAACATCCGGGGTGTTACTACAGCATCTTTTTTTCGGTGAAGGCGTATGGAAGTGGGGGGGGGGGGGTCTAGGGAATCTTTCCAAAAAAATTTCAAAATTTTAAACCATCTAATTGCAGTTTGACTCAATTTCGTCATGACTAATAACCAAATCTAAGCGTCATTCCTTCTCCTTCATTCCGTTCCTTCTTCCTTTTTTTCGGGCAAATGAAGGGGGGTATGAGCGCTCTTTACCGGACTATAAAATATAGTTACGTATTTTGTCTGGAACTCGACGAGATACAGACAATTTTGTGAGGTTTGAAAGATAAAATTACCCAAAAGCCACTATGCACGTCAAATTAGAGATCCACTCCTCAACGCATTTAGCGTAATGTAAATCACACAATTTTAATTATTTCGCTGCTGTGATCACTTTTATCTCAGTGTTAATATGACGACCAGATGTACCATAAATATACGACTAATCAGGCAACTTCTTTTCGGTCTTGAAATGAATGACTTCATTCGCTTCAAAGAAGTTACTCCTGAAAGAGGGTATGAACTTGGCGAAGTGGTGAAGCAAGCTCTCAGATTTTTAACAGTGCAGTTGAAATCGAATAAAAAGAAAGGAAAACTGACAGCTGTGGATGAAAACCTCTGGTGTCTCCATTTTACGTGGGAGAGATAAAGGAGAAAATCTGCGGAACCTATTAAACCTTGCTCTCTGAAGAAGTAACGACTTAATGAACCTGTACATTCTTTTAGCCCGGGTTTATTCACACAATTGTTCTTGATTTAATTGCTATGCGTTTTATTTAATCCAGAATCATTGTTTATGCGAAGAACGCTTAACTTTCACTACTTCTTCAAAGATTTGATGTTGTTTTCTGTAGTTCTAAGTTTACTTAACAGCCAAG